GTCAAACCTCTTGTATGTGTTAGTTTTTGTTGATTATGATTAAAATTTTATGTCAAATAATAATACATTGCATCAACTGTACTAAATAAAAATAAATCTAAAAAAGTTTAAAATCAAGGGTTGGCGTTCACCGTTTGACGTTTCTTGATATTTTATACCCATTGTCATTATTGTCATTATCAATTGTTATTTATGTGTACAAGACTACATATTTCTTCCGTCATATCTACGTTAAGTACATTGTGTTAGTTTTGGTAGAGCTTTTGTTACTTTCGTTCAAAATGCCACATCAGTTTTCGACCACAGAATATGCAGATATAATATTTGTTTATGGATTCTGTAATGTGAATGGTAGGGCTGCTAGTAGAGAATATCGCAGGAGATTTCCTAATCGTCGAACTCCCAGTCATCCAACATTTGGGTCAGTTATTAATTATTTGCGAGAAAATGGCACTTTTCCTAGTGGAACAACAGAGCGACATGTAGATGAAGCGCAGGAAGATGACATTATGGACGCCGTTACTATAAACCCTACAATAAGCACTAGACAAGTAAGTCGAGAACTCAATGTTACTCAATCAAAAGTAAGTAGAGTCTTACAAGAAAATAATCTATACCCATATCACATTTAAATGGTTCAGCGACTACATGCTGGAGATGAGATCGATAGGTTGGAATTTTGTAGATCCAACGCTATACAGGACACTATTTACAGATGAAGCCCAATTTACCAGAGACGGGATAAATAATTCACGAAATTCACATGTGTGGGCAGAAGAAAATCCCCATGCTATTCAAGAACGTCGTTCTCAGTTAAGGTTTTAGGTTAACGTGTGGATTGGTGTCATAAATAACCAATTAGTAGGTCCTCACTTTTTTGATGGTCCTTTAACAGGGCAGGTCTATTTGAACTTTCTACAAAATATTTTGCCGAATTTGGTTGCCAACGCAAACGTTGCTATCCGAGGAATGTATTTTCAGCATGATGGGGCACCCCCACACTTTTTACTGGCAGTGAGACAACATCTCAATAATGTTTATGGCAACAGGTGGATAGGACGTGCAGGTCCTATTTCGTGTCCTTCAAGATCCCCTGATTTCAATCCGGTTGATTACCATATTTGGGGACGATTGAAGCAACTAGTTTACGCAGTGAATATTTTTAACCGACAACAATTAATTGATAGAATTATACATTGTTTTAAAACTATTAGAAAAGATCAGCAGAGTATCATCATCATCAGTGGTGCTACAGCTCTAGTTGAGCCTTGACCTTCCCCAGTCTATTTCGCCAGTCGTTTCTGTTCATCGCCAACCGTTGCCAATTTGCCGCGCCGATTTTCCTTGCGTCCTCGTCCACACCGTCCCTCCATCTCAGTCGTGGTCTGCCTCTACTCCTATTTCCCACTGGGACCGATAATAGAGTTCGTCTGGGTGGGTAATTTTCATTTGCTCTTGACACATGTCCAGCCCATCTAAGCCTACCTATTTTTATGAAGGATATTACATCTCTATCCGCAGATCCGCAGAGTATCCGTAATTCAATAGATCAATTAACAATTCGGCAACAAAAATTTGTACAGGCTGCAGGGTTCCATTTCGAAAATCTATTTTAAATTATTTTTATTTTGTTACCATTATTGTATCTTTTCCAGTTCTAATTTATGGGTTTTTCATAACTATGTACATATTTTTAGTTTTTTTTTTAATTGTTCTTCGTTATTTTTAGTAGTTACTGCTTTTTATTGTGCAGTGACTCAGTTTATCATTTCAATTAAAATGTTTGAAATTTATAACATTTGTTTAAATGAATTACCTTATAATTTGATACTTCATTATGGTTGTTCTATTTTTGGTAAGATTTGATCGTTCACTAAAAATTTAATAAAAGTGCGACAACATTGTCGCATATGTCGTTTTCATTGGCTATTTATGTAGTTTGAAAATCACTTATTGAATTTAAAAAAAATATATATATATACAGGGTGTAATATTTATTACGAATCCCTAAATTAATTTTTCCAAAGCCAGTCGTGGAATTTTTTAGTTTAGCTAATACCAGTCGAATGCTTGATAGTAGTATACTGTATCACGCAAAAATTAAAAAAATCAAATGAGCCGTATAAACACTAGAGTAAAATGAAATAAATGGTCAATTACACAAATCACCCTGTTAATTAATAAAGAAGAGGAGTTCACATTTTTTAGTGGCCACATGATATGCTCCCTGAGGGACTCTACATATGGTAGAAGTATGTAAAGTTCCTCATGACTCACCCTGTATATTGATTCAGCGATGTCGGGATGTAAACGTTGCTTAGTGACTACGAAAAAGCTTTCGATAAAGTAAGACATAAAATACTAATATCAATACTTATGAACAAGCGCATTGACAGTAAAATCATAAATATAGTGCAAACATTATATTGGAATCAAAGTACCATAGTTCAAATTGATGGTAACACTCAGAAGAAATAAAGATCTGTAGAGGAGTTAGACAGGGATGTGTTTTATCGCCACTTTTGTTTAACTTATATTCTGAAGAAATTTTCCAAAACACGCTTAATAATATCGAAGCTGGAGTCACCGTTAACGGAAAATTAATTAACAACTTACGATATGCAGACGACATTGTGATCATAGCAATAAAAAAAAACGAAGTACATGCTAATTACAAAAAGACCACAAAATATACTTCACCTATTGACAATCAATGGTAACGTGATAGAACAAGTAGAAAAATATCAGTACTTGGGAACTTTAATCAATGAAACCAATGATCATACTGTAGAAATAAACAGGCGAATAGAGATTGTCAGTTCAGCATTTATACGAATGAAGCCACTCCTAACGTGCAAAAATCTAAATTTGGAGATCAGACTACGTACCATTCGCTGTTATATATTTTCAATATTATTATATGGAGCTGAGACTTGGACATTAAAAAAATTAAATTTAAAAAGAATCGAGGCTTTCGAACTCTGGTTATACCTCAAAGTATTAAAAATATCATGGACTGATAGAATTAAAAATAAAGAAGTACTGGAGAGGGTTGGTAAAGAAACAGAACTAATCACCACTATACAAACCAGAAAACTGGAATACCTAGGCCACGTGATGAAGGGTCCAAAATATGAAATTTTGAGAATCATAATATAGGGAAAGATTCAAGTAAGAAGATTTGTTGGCAGAAAGCAGAACTCATGGTTAAAGAATCTACGTGATTGGTATCAATACAGATCGATTAATTTGTTTAGAGCAGTAAGTTCTAAAATAAAAATAGCCATTATGATTGCTAACCTCCGTAGGGAGACTACACTATAAGAAGAAATTATATTGAATGAAGGCATGCTCAAGGTAACAGATTGTGAAAACCATTCTACACCATACAGGCGCAAGTTGAATATGGATACTAAGTTGAGTATGGATAAAAGGTATCATTTAAAAGTTTTATAAACATTTGATATATATGAACAGGAATCGGTAGGATAGAGGAAGAAAATTCTCGATCCTTTGAGATAAAGGATGGACTCAGACAAGGAGATGGCCTTGGAAAAGGTAGTGGACGAAGGCACTATTTCTAATAGATCGATACAAATCTTAGTATACGCTGATGACATTGGCATAATAGGGCGTAGCAAACGAGATGTTGAGCAATATTTTCTAAAATTAAAAACAACGGTGAAACAAGTCGGTCTAGTTATCAACAAAGACGAAACCAAGTACATGTTGGTTACTAAAAATTCTATAGCAAATGAGGAACGGGAAACATCATTTGGAAGTCATATTTTTGAACGTGTTGACAGCTTCACATACCTTGGCTCGCTAGTGACTACTACCAATAAAACAAGCGATTAAATTAAAAGACCAATAAACCTTACAAATAGGGCATACTGTGGATTCCAAAAACAATTCCACTTGAAAAATATCCAAAGAAAAACTAAAATTATTATGTACAAAAACACTGCTGAGGTCGGTCCTCATATGGGGTGAAAATATGGACTCTAACGCCGAAGGATGAAAGACTTCTGGGAATATTCGAGCGTAAGATACTCCGCAAAATATTTTTAGCTATATAACAAAAGATTTAATTTCGAATTATACCAACTCTTTAATGAATCAGATGTTGTAACGTTCATTAAATTACAGCGATTTAGATGGATCGGGTACCTAATAAGAATGCCTGACACATTGATTGCTAAAAAGCTAAAGACAGGAACACCTATAGAAAGACGAATCAGAGGCTGACCGCGAATTAGGTGGTAAAATAGAGTTGAGACCGACTTAGGTATCCTATACAAGATATCAGAAGATGGCAACACGTTGCCAGAACCCAAACAGAACAGAATAGCGGCTAATGTTAGAGCAAGCCAGAATCCACAAGGGATTGTCGAGCCAAAGATGATGGTTATGATGAACATTAATTAGTTTCATGCTAAACAATTACATTTTTTAATTGTTAAAACTATTAAATAAACCAACAATAAAAATGTATTTTTAATAGGTTGAGGAATGTTGGATCTTATTACTATACTTAATTTTGTTTTTATTATTATTAAATATTACTATGTGTTGTCGTCAGTCAAATTATGGTCGTTTAAACTCGATACATGGCGTGAATCTGATCTGAGTATACACTTAGATTTATGATATTATCTGTAAGACAAAGATTATTATGGAAAATATTAGATATTCCTAGATATATCTTTATGATGAAGAATTGCGGTACTTTCATATTTCATGAAGTGACCAGTAAAATGGACGTTTTCTGCTAATCGGTCAGGATAAAGGTGTAAATCATTTCTATGAAGCGTGATCCTAGACTTAGTAGGTGAGCAGTTTAACCAATGTATGATAAAGAAGTTAATAAATTTTCACAAAAACGTTAGACCGGACAATTGATCCACAATAAAATTGTTACTGCATGTATATATTATAGGTTTGTTTATTATAGAGTAGAGAACATTTTAATATTTTATACGATAATACCCTAATACTACCTGTCCAATATCCATTAATCAAATAAAACTGGTTGTTCAGCTTGTCAGTGATCTCCAAGCGGTGTGTTTCAAAAAATTTTAAAGGTAGGTATACATTATACGATAAATTCAATATAGTCTCTATAATTGGAGCACTTTTCCTAATCTCCTCCGAAAACTCCCTTAGTACGTTAACTAAACCATTCTTTAAAAACTCCAAGGTTATACTATCGTTAGAAATAGCTGAATGAATTAGAATCAGCAAACAGTTTCGTAATTTTGGATTAGTGGTCGATTTTAGTTGTTGCATAATAATAGTTGGTCCATTTAAGTTAGTAAACAGTTCTAAAAATATTGGTTTTACCATACAAAACGTTATTATTTCCAATGATAGAACTGCTACTTTTTCGCACTCACTTTGTGATGCCTTAAGTAATTCTGTAAATAATTTAGAATTAACTATACTTTTTTGATATTCCGGATACACCACAAAATGATATATTATCTCAGTGATGTTAAGATATGCTTCTGGAGATAATATGGCTAACCCTTTGTTGAATAATTCAAAAAATTTTTGTTGAGCTTCTAATTTAAACAAAAATTGTAATGTTTTTAACGATCTTTTGGTAAGATTACACAAAGTTTTTATTGCCACCTCATTTTGAGGATCTATTTCATCATCGGTCCTCTCCAATATGTTAAAAATTGTTTGTACCACTTTTCCTGTTAACATGTGGTCGCAGCAATATGGATGCTCGCTCATATTTGAAATTGCTGCACAAGCTCTATTTAAAACATATTTCTCTTTACTTCTTAAAAAATAGAGAATTGACTCTTCCACGGATAAGTCAAATAATGTCTGTCTGATGCTAGGTATACTTGAAAGTTTCAGAAATATATCAGCACATTGTGGAAGATAATCACTTTCGCAGGTTTTTACCCAAGCACAAAATTTTAAAAATTCTAAAGATTCAATAAAGTAAGTAGATGTTATATCGGAATTCATACAATCTAAAATGATTTTCAGTGATATTTCGTGATTATCTCTTTGTAAAGGATCCATTACTACACCCATCATTTTCTCTACTATTTTTTCTTTCTTAAACATGACCTGATAGACATTCAAACAAAAAAATGTTAGCTTTGAAATAATTTTAAATGCTTGTGCGTTTACTTCACCTTCGGGATGTTGGAGCAGTTTAACTATAGTGCTAACATCAAAGTTCTTTACTTCTGGTAAAATACATAAGGCAGCTGGAGCTGTTAGTAACCCGTCTAACAAAATCATACTCATTTGAAGTAAATTAACATTTTTAACACTCTTTAAAGCAGATAGTATGGGATTTAGTAGATCCATAGAGAAAATTAGACTAGTGATTCTACAGCTGCTGGCAACTTTACTTAAAATGGACACTGCAAACTCTTTTACATGTAAATCTTTATGATAAATATAAAAATTTGTTATTCTTTGGATATCACTATCATATTCTTCTTGATCAAATTCAATCATTACATCTTCGATACTTAAAAGGATATTCAGAAGTCTTAAGCATAGTCTTAATATACAAATGTTCCTATCTAATAACTTTAAAATCTTCTGCAGGAGACCTCTTTGCTGCAAGTAGTTTAAATTGATTAGACATAAATCGGCATATTTGGATAAAAATAAAAGAGATTCCAGGACAATATCGTTTTCAGGGCTATCTAAAATTGCTATTGAAGTATCCACGTGACGGGTTAAATATGATTTTTCCTTTATATCGTCTGGTAATTTAGTAGTTAGAGTTTTTCCACCTTTTTTTGTTCTACTTCTCTTATTCGATTCTGTCATAATTTATTCACAATTAAATATGTGTAATACTTTAATCTTTAACGTCGTGTTTTTTGACATTTACAAATTTCATTTTCTATTTAAAGGTTAGTTTGCATTAGTAGAACCATAGCCTCCAAAATGTGTTGTAGTTTTTAATAAATCCAATACTCTTTTTCAACCGGGTAAATTTGATACAAAAATATTTGATATCAAAATTTATACAACTTTCTTAAGTAAATTATTTTGATTAGACTGAGGAAATGTGTAAATAAATAATAAAGAAGCAAACATTTTAATTATATAATTTTAACTAAATTTTATATTTAACTAGCGATGTCTCGAGTTTGAATAATTAAATGTTTCTTCTTTTTCTTCGTTTTTTTTGGGTTTCGATTGTATAATCATTTACCCAGTACATGTAAGTTTATGCTTACCTTGCTCTAGGTCAGGGGTGACCAACTTAATCGGACTCGAGATCTACTGTCTGTCTTTTTATATCTTTGCGATCTACTGACTAGGAATTTTTTAACAATACTGCCGAGCAAGAATACTTTTAACCCAGAATTTTAATTTGAAAGGAGCTGAATATCTCTAAGCCGCTCACTATTCTTTCTTCTTACGGTGCCTATCCGTTCCGGATGTTATCGATCAACATGGCTATCCTAACTTTGCTTGCTGCTATTCTGAATAGTCCGGTTGTCGATGTACTAAACCACTTTCTCAGGTTTTGAAGCCAAGATATTCTTCTTCTCCCTGGTCCTCTCTTTCCAAATACCTTGCCCTAAAGAATGAGTTGCAACAGGAAGTATCTCTGTTCATTCTCAGGAAGCCATAACATGGCCAAGATATTCTCGTTTGCGCTCTTTGATGGTGTTAATAATCTCGCATTCCTTGCCTATTCTACGTAGGACCTCAACATTAGTCACACGATCCACCCATGAAATTCTTAAGATACGTCTGTAACACCACATCTCGAATGCCTCGAGTTTTCTTAAGGAAGCTTCGGAAAGTGTCCAGGCCTCTACTTCGTATAATAAGGTAGAAAATACATAGCATCTAATGAGAGAGATTTCGGTAGCAAGTAGTAAATCATGACTTCTGAAAAGAGACTTTATCATTATGAACGCTGATCTCGCTTTTCCTATGCGTTGTTTTATTTCACTGGAGTGATCCCATTGGCTATTAATGTTGGTACCAAGGTATGTGTAGCTGTCCACTCTGTCAATTGGATGTTGGTTAACCAAAAGCTGTGTATTTAATATTTCGCGCTTACTGACTACCATGCTCACTATAAATAAGGAAATCAATCACTGATTCTAAAAGCCTATTTTGTCAGCTTTCGCGATCTAAAAGAATTTTGAATATGAGTAAAACCAGTTACACAGTAAAACACAATTAGAGTGTATAATTGTAATACGTAAATTAAACAAAAGTAGTAATTCTTATTTGTTTATTTTTTGAACTTTAATAAATTTAAAAAATTAATATGAGATTTGCGTTTGAACAGTTTTTGCTCGGTTCTTAAGGTCTGGCTTGAAGTTGGAAATAGCCAACCTTAAACAATCCAACATATTATCTACACTTATAATGTACCAATTAAAAAACATTATTAAAAAAAACTAGTTCCCATAACCTTTGGGAATATTATAATTTTGTAAATTCGCATTACAATAATTACATACAAATATTTACAGATGCTTCAAAAAAACAAAAAAATCAAAACCTTGAGGAAGCCAAAACGGGCATAGGAATACACATACCTATTATAAATTATTCCTTTTCTGAAAAAATTCCTTCACCTATTAATATCTGTACAGCTGAAATAATAGCTGTTCAAAAGGGTATAATGATTTGCGAAGAAAAAAATTTTGATAAAGCTATAATATTTACGGACTCAAAGAGCGCTGTAGACAATATTAATAACAATATGATAACTGTAACAAAGGATTACAGAGTTTCGTAAGTTAAAAGAAACTATACCATTTAAATAAATATAGAAAAGATATTAGATTATGTTGGATTCCTGGACATAATGATATTAAGGGAAATGAAATAGCTGACAAACTGGCAAAGATTAGAGCTGAATTAAATATTCCTGCTAAAATTCGATTAAGTAACTTGGATATCATGCCATTATTAAAAAATAAAATATGTTCTATGCATCAAAATAATTGGTTAAATTCTTTTCAATATAAAGGCAAGTGGTATAACAACATACAAAATTTTTTTCCTAATAAACCATGGTTTGACACAATCCCATACATAGATAGGCGGCATATTACTACCATTATTAGAATGAGGACAGGTCATTGTCTGACAGGAGTACATTTATATAAAATTAACATTCGCGATAACCCATACTGTGAATGTGGGCAAATGGAAACACTAGAACACATATTTTGGGAATGCCCAATAAACAAAATAAAAGATTATGATGTCTATCAGGAGCTGATCAAAGTTAATATTAAAACCCCAATTAACATACCAATGCTTCTATGCGATATTAACCCTAAAATTATCAAAATTCTTCTCAGATTCCTACAGATCAACCATATAAAATTATAACCTTCGTAATAACCTATCCAAAATTAACATTTAAACCAATTATAAGAAAATAGAAAACATAAATAAAATGTAGATTTGTAAATAAAATATCTAAATTCACCAATAATAGGGCATGAGATATATTCTCAGACTCACGAAAGTGGCCCAAAAATTAACACAACAAATGTACTGGCTGATTATTCAGTAGAGTAAAAGCCAAAAAGAAGAAGAAGAAGAAGAAAAATGTATAAACATTAGTCAAGTTGGAACGCTGTTTAGTCTTTGTTTGTTTTTAATATGAAACCGCTGATTCACATAAACAGGTTGAACCAAACAATAATGCAGTTATTTAGCACATTTTTGTTAAATTTGGATATTTGTCAATGCACACCAATGGCCAGAAATCTAGAAGTGAACCTGACCTCGATTTCAAAAAACATCGCAGCGCATAACAATTATTTCTTTTTCAAGAAAAAGTTGGTCCATTTGGAATATCTCTGCAAATTGTTTGGATATTTCAAAGGTGTTATGAATAGTATTATTGAATAGATAATTGATAAATTCGACCAACTTTTAAATTTTATTGAAATCTCTAAAACGGATTTCAAAGCCTGATACCACTGACTGAATTTCTGCTGTATACTTCTGTATATTGAAAACATAGGCAGTGTGTTTTTCAAGTTTTATTTAATGTTCGTGAATCTTAAAAACCTTCTCTTTACAATATCAACTATTAAAAATACTGTTTGAAGTTTGAATGATGCAATAGAACTTATCATTTCTGATAATGTTTTCTTCTTGCCTTGCAGTTTCAGATTCAATGTGCTCAGTTTACCAGTAAAATATGTGAAAATGCCAAATCGCCCCTTTCTTCAAGAAATTTAATAATGTCAATAAACTAATCCCGAAACCTTTGTGACATAGTAATATAAATCCATTACTAACGCCAATCATTGCCCAATCTGTCGTTATTGTCATTATTGAAATAAGCTTAAATAAAGGTAAATTAATCTCACTGACAAAATGTTTGAATTTCGTGAATAAATCAATGCCACGTGTTCTGCCTTTTATAGATATCACTGTTAGCAACTCTTCTCTTGTTGAGAAATCATTAAAGACCATCCGAATGAAAATAAGTAATTGTGCAGTATCCATGATATCCGTCTTAAGCTGCAATAAAAAAGCAACGCACCCGAATAGATCTCTTTGCAGTTGCTCATTAAGATTTTTACCCAACAATTCTCTACGACACATCACAGTATTTCTTGGCAACTGCAGATCATGTATACTTTTTAATTCATTTTTATTTTTGAAATTAACAAACAGTAAATCTTCGAATATTTCTTTGATATATTCTTCATCAGAAAACGGCTTATACTTTTGCGCAATTTCCTAACAAACTAAGAATGAAGCTTCAGTTATAGCCTTAGACTGTTCATTCGTCTTACAGAACATATTTTTCTGGGCAGTCAAAAGAGATTTTAATGCTTAGAGTTTATTCTTTCTCACTTCAGTCTTAGGTGGAAACTATGATTGGTATTTACCGTGCATTGTGTTGAAGTGACGCTACAATTTTTTTTGCGGTATTGCTACTGATGTATTGTAGATTAAGCAGCAACAATTTTCTTTTACCATGATTTACCATGATGTGATTCGCTCTTAAGCGAGCGGGATAAAATTAGCAGAATGAAAAGAGAAAGAAAGTACATATACTAAAACATTTATAGTACCATGTACAAAGTGGACACTTCATAAGTCGCTCGCGATAATCGATGCAAAATTGCTAGCTCTCCAATAATTTTTCCTAATATTTATTTTATTTATTCGATATTTATTTCCTTGCTCGCGATCGACTGGTCGATCACGATGAGCGGGTTGGCCACCCCTGCTCTAGGTAATGCACAACTAGGGATAAATTTTTGTTTACTACTAATTATTGACAGCTGGGTAATACTTAAATGATACGCATGATACTATGAACTAAAGATAAACCCACGCGCATGCGATCAGTCTATCTCTTTTACACGTGTGACGTCACTTGACTACAAGTATCACCAGAAATGTTCTGTTTTGCATGGAATTTTGTCAGATTTAGTATTGTTTTATTGTTTATTTAGTGCTTCTTCTTCAAGTGCCATCTTCGTTCCGAAGGTTGGCGATCATCAGGGCTATACGTATTTTCAAAACTGCTGACCGAAACAATTCGTTGTTGCTACAGCTATACCATTCTCGCAGATTCTTTAGCCAGGAGTTTTGCCTTCTTCCTATGGACCTTTTTCCTGCTATTTTCCTCTGCTTAATTATTCGAAGCAGTTAATATCTTTCGCCTCTTGTACTGTGTTGCAAGTATTGCAGTTTTCGTTTTTTGATCGTAAATATTACTACTAGAACAGCACAGAAAGTACGTAACATCTCATCAGGCGAAGTTTCATTTTAAGGCTCAAATCTCTTCCGCAGAACACTCTCTTCATTTTAGTGAATATGGATCTGGCTTTTTCTATTCTTATTTTGATTTCTGCTGAGCTA